TATTCTGGTTGTTTTTATTCAGAGGTACTATTTTAAGTTTGTGTTATTTTAAGTATTTTTTTATTTTTAACTATTAGTTTTGCAAAAACGCTTACTATTTTTATATGGTTTTACTAATCCTAAATAGGTAGGGGGAATTAAAATGAGCACAAAACAAAGATAAAACTGGTGAGGCCACCAAAATTTGTGGGTGGGCATAGCCCCTCCCGGCCACCCTCACTTGTTGCGCCCCTGGTGATTGACGGGTGCTGTTCCCCAGAGGAATGAGAGCTGAGGCCACAGCACTGCACATCTCTGTTGGATGTGAGAGACGGGGACAAGACTGCTTACATTAGTGTCTGCTGAGTTAATAATCTGTAGCGTTTGTGAGTTCGCTCTCAGCAGATCAGCTGGAGGCCCGTTATCGTGGTTCTGCAAAACAAGCACACGCTGCTAAGATATCTAAGATGTAGATCCAGCMGTTAATTTTTGAGAGGTTCGTTAATACCATCCGGAGTTTAATAATATTTTACTAGCTGACAAACATGTTTGGCTCCATCAGTTACTGCTAAAGTTTTAAGCCAAATTCTTGTGCAATGTGCACATGAGGATGTGTGATTTCAGCTCGATGTCTGTAAAACTGAATGAAATATAGCAATTTTTGTTTCTTTAAGGTCAGTTGGCTGAGGCAGCCATCTTGAATGAGACTGACTCTGTGAGTTAATTTGTTGTAGAGGTACATTTATTCTATTTTTCCTGGAGATTTCAATCAAATCCATCCAGTGGCTCATAAAATTATTGCTAACAGACACACAAAAAACATCATTGTACATATTTGCCTTTCTGTGGCGGGTGATGTTTAACACCAGTGGACATGTTAAAGCAGGTTTATGGTGTTCTGCCCTAAATACTTTAAAATTCAACCATTCCTGAGCTGCACTCGGTTCATTTCGACTGGCTGCTACATTTTCATTTTGCTACTGGATAGTGGGGAGTTTCCTGGACCACCACAGGGTAAATGCTCAGTGCCTCTCCTCTACAAGAGGCTGGCAACACAGATTCTCACCAAGTGGCTCGTGTCAGCTGTGATTTATGAGTTTCATTTCAGGGAAAATTAATTCAGCCTCATCAGTCCCCAGCTTGTTCTGATGCTACATTAGTACTTCTGAGGAACATCTATCATGCCGGTTCACCCGTAGCCCGAGCCAGGAAGCTGCAGCAGTTGTCCCAGCTCAGCTCAGCGCAGGCCTTTTACTGGAAAACTGGTTTATTTTTAAAGAGACGATCTGATGATTGCAGAGCTTATTTTCTCTCCTTCAGACTTGCCTGACGTGTTCTAAGAAAGGCTACCGGCGTAGCAAGAACTGGCTACTGTATTTAGTTTAAATGACAGTAAACAGGGTGACTAATGTACTGAGYTGGATAAAGTCTGGTGTTTAAAACATCTGTTCTGCTTTAGTCTGCTGTCACTCRTTACAAACAAGTAATTTGTTTCTTTTAAGGAAAAACATAAATGTGTAGTTAAAAATAGCTGTGAGAAAGTAGTCATTAATTCAGTTTAWAGTAGGTCGGCTGAGAGTCACAAAATAACATCATATGATGCTAAAACGTTATAGCTTTCTGACAAGTAAACCCTACTTCTGACACCTGTCACCTCCAAATATTAACAATTCAGCTATATAAATAAAGTTCTTAAATATTAAAGGATAACTCCTAAGTTTACAGTATGAAAGTCACATAGTGTCAATAATCTGGTCAAATTAGAGAGAAATTTAAACTTTTTTGTTTGTTTTAAAAAAAGTATTTGGCAATAAGTGGTTTTATATTCCATAATAATACAATAATCTACCCAAACTTAAAGGTGACCTAATATGTGGGTCCTAGAACAAGTTARGATCCATCTGTGGGCTATACAAAACATGTTCATTTGATTTAATTCATAAAATGAATCTCAGATAATGAAATTTCATCTTTTCAGTTCTGCCTGTTCTTTAGCTCTGTTTAGAACATGCTATGGGAACCTCCTCCCAACCTTTTGTTTATGTTAACTCCGCCCACCGCCAGAAGTTTACTTTCATTTGAAAGTACTAATTTTCCAAAGTAGTCCATGGTGAAATTATTTACACAAACTACAATTTTCTTTGTTAATAATGCCAGAACTTTGCCATCAAAAATAAAATTAAATAAAAAATAAAGTAAAGCCACACATCTCTGTTCTCCATGACTGTGCTAAAACAGCAGTGAACCATCCTGTGAAGAAGTGGGCGGAGTCTCTGCTTGGGTTACCAGGAAATGGGCTGGACTCAGGTTGGGGTGGGTTGGAGTGCATCTTGTGACGTCRCAAACGGAGGTGTTTGAACACAGGTCATTTCGAGACACAAAAATATACATTTACTTCCAGTAAAAATATCTCTGAGTGCATTTTTATTTTTGTTTATTTATTTTGGTGCTTGGACTGTCTTTTTTTAGAAGCAGTACAGACCCAAATGT